AAATGAAAAGTGACTAAAAACTTTTTTTGTAAAGGTATTCGCTTTGGGTTTATTGGCACCTATACTATATTCTCAAAAGTTACAGAATGTCCTCCAGATCTTGTTGGGACTACAATTCCCAGAATTGCCAACTAGCATTCACTTGGCTACTTTGGTTGGAGATTATCAACTGTAATTTCAACTATCTGAGGGAGCACAAGAATTGGGAATGAGATCTGTAACAACAATTGTTATAGAGATTCTCAGTCATCCAGGTCATGGTTATCCCAAAGTTGCTTTTTCAAGAGGCAACTGGACTTTGTGATTTTTCTTTGAAGAGGAGAAGAGCTGAAGAAGCTTCTTGGATGAGAAGTGAAATGTCTTCAAAGAAAAACCAGAAAGTCCAATTGCCTCTTGAACAAACACCTTTGGGACAACAATTGTTATAGTTTACTCTACCACAGTGTTTTTCAACTTCAGCAGCCTTAAGGTCCAACTCCCAGAATTCCCCAGCCAGATTTGAAGTCCAGACATCTTAAAGATGCTGACACTGAGCAAGGTTATTCTAGAACAGTATTTCCCAACCTTGGCCACTTGAAGATGTATGGACTTCAACTCCCAGAAATCTGGGAGTTGGAGTCCACACATCTTCAAGAGGCCAGGGTTGAGAAAACTTCTCTGATAGTCCTGACCTTTCTTATGGTCTGGCAGATTCAGCCCTGTGGGGTTATATTTTTTCAATTTGTGGCAGAAAGGAAGATGAATACCTGTTAAATGAGCACCTTGACATTGTGAATTATCTGTGTTTCTTCAGAGCCGTTTTTCAGCAAGAGATCAAAGAACGGTGTTTTATTTTTGAAGACATTAACTAGATGCTATATAAGGCGTGAATGCAAAATTACCCAAATTAATCAGAGAAAGAAAGCAGCCCAGGGGGGGACGAAGCTAACAAGCTAGCAAGAAAATCTGTGTTGCCTATGTTTGTGGCATGTTTGTCATTTGGAAGAATAATCCAGGGAGAAGCGAAACCCATTTCCGAAAGACAAAACTGCTGTATCAGGTTTTCCAGCCGTTCCCACCAATCCTTACACTCATTCAGCATAGCTATCAATCCAGTGATAATAATCCTTTATTTCATCCACTGCTTATACCCCATTGGGTTCTCCAGCTGGGTTGTGCAGAAGCAAAATGATTTATTGATGTCGTTCGATAGTGACAGGGCAAAGCAGCCTCTCTCTTGAATATGACATATGGGTTGGGATTGCAACCGCCAACTTTGGGCCCAGTGGCTGGCAATTCTGAAAGCTGCAGATCCAGCACATCTGGAAGACACCAGGATGGAGAAGTGTGGGACAAACATAGGCCGCCTCCCAGCTCATAGCTGTTTGCCCAGCCAGCTGCTTGTGACTTCCCCCCCACCTCCCCAGTTCTTGGTGAGACCCTCATTTAGGTCAGTTTGAGGCTGGGGAAATGGGATAGAACTCAGCAGGCAGAGGGTGGTTCGCTTAAAATGGTGCCAGACTACTCCAGCTTTCCTGTTGGGAAATAAATTCGAAAAGCAGATAGTCTCTTGTGTGCTTTCAATACAATGCAGAGAGTCAGAATTCAACCCTCCGTCTCCTGTTTCCCAGTTACTTTCTGAATAAACACCATTTCTTGCTGCCGGAGTGATGTGTGGATATTTGTCGGGGTTTTGTTCTTTGTTTTTACTATTTGATGCAGATCTCACGCAAAGAAGTTAAGTCAAGAAGCTGGCGAAACAGGGGAAGCCCAGGAGGCTGCTGGTCAAGAGGAGAAGTTAATGTTGGAGCGAGACCATAAAACCATCCCAAATTATTGCAGCAGTAGAAGCTCCCTTCAGGTGCTCGTCTTCCAGCCATTCATTTAATGACTGTTCAAAATTACAAGGGAATTGAAAAACATATAACAGATTTTCATACTTATGACCAGTGGTGGTTTCCTCCTGGTTCTACCCGGTTCCGCCGAGCCGGTAGCGGTGCCAATATGATGTCACCAAACCCCCCACATTATTCTTACCTTTTATTTGGCCCCACCCCCAATCTATTGCTGCCTATTGAGTCCCAGCTGATGGGCTATAAGGAAAAACTGTTTAAACTCTTGCCGCGGGGCTTCAAAGGGCCGCCCTACACTGATCAGTGGTAAAAGGCAGTTTGGTGGTAGACTGGTGCCTCCAAAAACAAATGAGTAGACTGGTGCCTGCAAAAATAAATGGGTAGACCAGTGCCTGCAAAAATATATGAGTAGACCAGTGCCTGCAAAAATAAATGGGTAGATCAGTGCCTGCAAAAATAAATGGGTAGACCAGTACCTGCAAAAATACATGAGTAGACCAATGCCTGCAAAAATAAATGGGTAGACCAGTGCCTGCAAAAATACATGAGTAGACCAGTGCCTGAAAAAATACATGAGTAGACCAGTGCCTGCAAAAATAAATGGGTAGATCAGTGCCTGCAAAAATAAATGGGTAGACCAGTACCTGCAAAAATACATGAGTAGACCAATGCCTGCAAAAATAAATGAGTAGACCAGTGCCTGCAAAAATACATGAGTAGACCAGTGCCTGCAAAAATACATGAGTAGATCAGTGCCTGCAAAAATAAATGGGTAGATCAGTGCCTGCAAAAATAAATGGGTAGATCAGTGCCTGCAAAAATACATGAGTAGACCAATGCCTGCAAAAATACATGAGTAGACCAGTGCCTGCAAAAATACATGAGTAGATCGGTGCCTGCAAAAATACATGAGTAGATCAGTGCCTGCAAAAATAAATGGGTAGATCAGTGCCTGCAAAAATAAATGGGTAGACCAGTGTCTGCAAAAATAAATGGGTAGACAGATACAGCTCTGCAAGCAGTTAAAAGCCTGGTAGACCAGTACCTCTGTTAAATCCTAAAGAATTGTCACATGACCATCAAGCCACACCCACAAAATAAGCCACACCCACAGAACCGTAGTAAAAAAAATTAGAATCCACCCCTGCTTATGACTCATAGCCTGAAAGAGCCCTGGTGGTTAAGGTGCAATATTACAGGCAAACTCTGCCCACAGCCTGGAGTTCGATCTTGACAGGGGCTCAAGGTTGACTCAGCTTTCCATCTTTCCGAGATTGGTAAAATGAGAACCCAGATTGTGGGAGCAATATGCAAAAACTGCTTGTATTGTAAACTGTCCAGAGAGTGCTATAAAGCACCTTGGGGCAGTCTATAAGCCTAAATGCGATTTCTATAGCATCTGTATAGTCACATAACAGATGCAGTGTTCCAGGGTCACGAGATCACCATTTACAACTTTCCAAGCTTGGTTTCCAACAAGCAAAATCAATGGGGGAAGCTGGGTTTGCTTAATGACCATGTGATTCACTGCAATCAAGTGAGGGCAAAAAAGATTGTAAAACCTGGAACAACTCACTTACAACAAAAATTAGCTTAGCAACAAAAATTCTGCTCCCAATTGTCATAAATCGAGGACTACCTGTATCAAAGGTGTGTGTCTGTGTGTGTGTCTGTGTGTGTAGGAGAAACTGAGTTTCTTGCTCTCTCTGTACCCTGGGCAATGCAGCAGGCCTGATTGCAAATACAGGTAGTCCTTGACTTACAACAGTTCATTTAGTGGCCATCCAAAGTTAAACAGCACTAAAAAAAAGTGATTTATGGCCGTTTTTCACATGATCACTACAGCATCCCCATGGTCACGATTAAAATTCAGATGCTTGGAAACTGACTTATATTTATGATAATTGCATTGTCCCAGAGTCATGACCATCTTTTGCGACCTTCTGACAAGCAAAGTCAATGGGAAAAACCAATTTCACTTAACAACCATGTTACTAATTTACCAACTGCAGTGATTCACTTAACAGCTGTGACAAGAAAAGTCGTAAAATGAGGCAAAACTTATGTAACAAATGTTTCACTTAGCAACAGAAATGTTGAGCTCAATTGAGGCCATTTAAGTTGAGGACTACCACTAGCCTGGTTTTATTTTTCTGTGTAAAATAGGGGGGGGGCTGCAGAATGTGGTAAAAAATTCAAGATGGCAGCTACAGAGCCTAAATCAAAGTCTTACCAATTTTTTTATATATGTTATGGACCCTCCTCCAAAGAAAGATCAGTTGGGAAAGGATCCATCTGGAGCAGCATGCCTGCTGAATCCCCTCTTGTTTGCTCTTCTCTGGAAAATTATCTTTTTATTTCTATCTTTTTAAGATGTGCCAAATTGTCCTACCAACTGTGCTTTTTCTCTCTCTCTCTCTGTAGCATGTGTGTGTGGAAGCCATTTCAAAAGACCATTTAAACAGACTCCAAGACATTTGGGAGTTTTCATTTTAGTAGGAATGTGTAGGTCCATATAAATCAAACCAGCTTTACCATCTATGAGAGTAGGACGACAGGCATTTTAAAATGATTTTTAAAAGAACAGTTTTTAAAGAATCAAAAACTCTGTGATTGTGTTTGTTCATTATTCGCTTTGGGAATGGGAGTCCACTTGGAGTGGGAAAGGAGTCAGAAAAGTGAGGAGAGCATCCATCACCATGAATCAAAGGCCAACATCTTATTTCACTGTTTCTCAATCTTGGCAGCTTCGTGGACTTCATGGACCAACTCCCAGAATTCCCGAGCCAGCTGAATGGAGAATTATGGGAATTCCAAACATCTTAAAGTTGCCAGAATTGAGCAACACTGCCTTAAATGATACATATAAAAGAAGGCAGCGTTTCAATTGCACAATTGTAATTTCTTGACACACACATACATCCAATGGCTGAATCTAACCAACAGGAAGAAAAGGACAACCTCAGTGGGGGAGAAAACTTGAGAAATCTTTGTTCTATACAGATTTTTAAAATACAATTTTCCCAGAAAAATACTCATTTCTTATCTTTCTTTAACTGATTAAACCAATGTTTTCAAACCTGGTTATTTGAAGATGTGTGGACTTCGATTCCCAGAGTTCCCCAGCCAGCATGCTGATTGGGGAATTCTGGGAGTTGAAGTCCATACAATTTAAAGTTGTTAGGTTTGAAAATCCCTGCTTTGAATCATTTTTGCATTCATGGAAATGCTCTGAAAAGGACCAGGATTAGGGACAGGTCATCTGAAGGAGATCTATTGATGAAGTTGCTAAGAATTGGCTTGAATTTGGTGACATGTAAATCACCAATCAATCAGAAACACACTTTTCCCCCCCAGAACTTTATTTTTACAAATACATGAAAAGATTTTACTATGGTCAATCCTGGAATAGAAGAAACTGATTTTGATGAAAACTGCAAATCCTCTTCACTAGAATCTGGTGAAAATTTCCTTAACATCCTAATCTTTAGTAAAGTAAATACACTATATTTATGAAATCCAGATAAACAAATAAAAATAAAAGTATGGAAAATCAAGATAAGGAGGGTGCTGGTTGCAAGTAATTTCAAAGAGGCAGGGGACATTTCACATTTTCCACTAACTCTCTGATTCACTGTCACTCTCACTGTCACTCTCGTCATCATCATCGTCATCATCATCCTCTTCCTCCTCCTTAGCCATATGACGATAATAACATAAACTGTAAGGAAAAAGGGGAAAGAGGGGAATTAAACAGAACATAGAAGCAGATTTCAAAGTTTCTAGCTTTGATAAATTCCACCAACAATCTCTTTTTTACTGATGAGGCCCTTACACACACCAGCTTTGGAGAATGTAAGGAAAAATTCTAGGATATGCCTTTAATTCATCTGCAATACTGGCTGTGCCTGCTGGGCCATATTGTTACTTTGCCCAAATTATTTTGTGCATCTTTCAATAATGGGTTGGGGGTGGGAGGGATTCGGTCTCCTGCCTAAACCAGATTGCATATCCTGGGTATAAGCACAAAATATTTGTTACCTTTGGAAAAAAATCTACAGGTAGTTCTCAATTTATGACTATAATTAGAACCAAAACTTTGGTCATAAATCATTGTTGTAAGTTGAAAAGTCCACAGGACCAGACCTGATTTGTTTTTATGGTGGTCACTAATCAAATCCTGTGGTCATTAGTCTGAGTCACACATCTTAAGCAAATCCATTCTCTCAGATGTGTGCTTTTTGCTGGAAATGCAAAAAATGCCACAAATCACAGTTACGTGAATATGGATGTTGCAACCAGATATAAATTCAAACTGTTGCTAAGTACCAGAAATGCAGTTACGGGACCATGAGGGCAACATTTTACAATGACCAGAAGTGCTTTATGGACCATAAAACACCCTTTTCAAAGCTGTTGTAACAGTCAAACCATTGTTAAAAGACTGGTTGTAAATTGAGGACTATGTGTGTCCTATTAAGGTCTGTCTGCCATTACTGATTTTTCACTATGATCTCACCAGAAAGTAGCACCTCCTCCCTTGTTCCTCCTGCCCTCAAACTAATGTCCCCAAAGTAGGTTAAACATACCTCTCTGGGAATAGAGATGTACCTGAAGGCAGAGGTGGGTTTCAGCAGGTTCTGACCAGTTCTGGAGAACTGGTAGCGGAAATTTTGAGTAGTTCGGAGAACCGGTAAATACCACCTCTGACTGGCCTGTCCCCATCTATTCTCTGCCCCCCACTCCGAGTCCCAGCTGATTGGGAGGAAATGGGGATTTTGCAGTATCCTTCCCCTGGAGTGGGGAGGGAATGGAGATTTTACAGTATCCTTTGCCTGCCATGCCCACCAAGCTACGCCCACCAAGCCATGCCACGCTCACCAAGCCACACCCACAGAACCGGTAGTAAAAAAATTTGAAATCCACCACTGCCGCTTTGAGAAAATTAGATTTACAGTTTCAGCTATAATGACATTTTTTTAAGGATGACGATAGTTACATAGGTGCAACTCTGTGATTACCTTCACAACTTTCCATTGGGAAAATTGAACTTCAATTTCCTTAATTTGTGATGGGCCATCATTGTAAGCTCAGAATGATATGGACCATCCTATCCAGAAGCCCAATTCTGCTTTGAAACTACCATAGGATGTTTTTAAAATTACAAATAACGAAATACGTTTTGTTTAGGACACAGTGTTTATTTTCAGATTTCAGTGAGCCAGGTGAGTGTAGTGCTTAAGGCACCTATCTAGAAACAACAGATCCATGAATTGTAATCCCACTTTAGGCACAATGCCAGCTGGGTGACCTTGGGCCACTCACTTTCTCTCAGCCCTAGGAAGGAGGCAATGGCAAACCAAACAAAGATGCTAAGGAGTCTTGAGGGTAAACCACGTGATGAGCAATTGAGGGAATTAAGTAGGCCTAGTCCACGGGTGTCAAACTCACATCATGTTGCCATCACATGACATATAGCGATGTTTTTTCCCCTTCACGGAGCTAGAATGGGCGTGGCCTGCATGTGACGTATCCGGCCTGTGGGCCGCCAGTTTGACACCCCTGGTCTAGTCTAACCAAGAAAAGGAGTAGGGGTGATTATGATAGCAGTCTTCCAATATTTGAAGGGTTGCCACAATGAAGGGGGGATTGACCTATTCTCCCAAACACCTGAAGGCAGGACAAGAAGTAACGGGTGGAAGATTATCAGAGAGAGATTCTACCAAAAGCTAGGGAAAAATTTCCCATCAGTGAGAACAATTCATCAGTACTTGCCCCTGGAAGTTGTGGCTGCTCCATCACTGGAGTTTTTCAAGAAGAGACTGTCTGGAATGGTATCAGGTCTCCTGCTTGAACAGAGTTGGACTCGATCTCCAAGGTCCCTCCCAACTCTATTATTCTATGTTCTAACCACTTCTGGAAAACCTGCCAAGAAAACCTGCAGGAACTTGTCCAGGCAATCTCCAAGAATCAGATTCAATTGAATCAAGAAAAAAAGGACACTTCAGAGATGAAGCTATGACATCTCTCACTCAGCCTTTTCCCACCAGCTGCTGTTCAGATGTGATAGCCTTTGAAATTGGTAGTTCCAAAGTATCAATTCCATGTCATCTGCTTCCAGTTATCCCCACAAAAAGCAAACAAGGCTACTTGGTTGTAAAGTGGATAAGACTCACAAAGCAACAACAATGAAGAACAGCACACCTCCTGTAATCCCGCTCACTTTCCAAGCTGTCCAATCAGCTTCAGGGGGTGGAGCCCTGGAAGAAATCCCTAGGGTGAGTGGATTTTTCACTGTCACAAGTGGCGGTGACAATAATGAAGATGGTGGTGGAGACAGTGTTGATGGCCGTGAAACCAGCGGTGGTGGGTGGGTAAACCAGGTGGTCTTCTCTTTTGGAGGTAGCACTGAAAGAAGAAGAGGAGAAGATGGGAAACTAAGGGACATCAGGGTGGGGATTAGGAATTTGGGGGAGAATTCTGTCAATGAAACCAAGCAAATCAGAATCCTGAGATTTGGCTCCTTCTCAAAGTTCTTCTTTAATGAGTACATCACATCGGCACAGCTTCAAAGGAAACCCAATTCTAAATCTTTCCCACGGTTTCAGTATAGTTAAACTAGGAAATAACCCCATCCCCAAGTATCACAGGTCACGTCGGCCAATTGAGTTAATTGGCCGGCTTTTCAAGCACTCTTTCCCCAAACTTATTGGTTGCCAGTAGAGATGACCTTGGTTCTCATGAGAAAGTTCTTTGTTGTGTCTAGTAATGCATTCCAACCTCCTTCCCCCACTTCCGCCTCTGTGTGGCAACTGTGGGATGAAAAAATGGCTGCTGCCAGGTTCACTTCGAAGTTGAATTTAGAAGAGAAGGCATTCTATCCAGTGGTGGGTTTCAAAAAATTTTACTACCAGTTCTATGGGTGTGTCTTGGTGGGTGTGGCAGGGGAAGGTTACTGCAAAATCCCCATTTTTTCCCGATCAGCTGGGACTTGGGAGGCAGAGAATAGATGGGGATGGGGCCAGTCAGAATTTTTACTACCGGTTCTCTGAACTACTCAAAATTTCCTCTACCAGTTCTCCAGAACTGGTCAGAACCTGCTGAAACCCACCTGTGATGCTATCTCTTTAAACTTCAGCCCCTGGTCAACTGGTTAGGTGGATGGCTTGAAAACTGACACAAAGAAACCTACTTTAAAGGAAAACATATCTGATATTCAAAAGGCAGATGGATAGGCTCCACCCAAGAAGAGAAATGCTCTCTTCATTATCACAAGCTTGAAAAGGTGTCTCAGGGCCCCAGGGGTATTATTATTGTTGTTGTTGTTGTTGTTATTTTACATTGTAATACTTGTAAAAAAAAAAGAGCAGGGCTTTAATCACATGGTTGAGCTGACCATCTAAAGCTTTTTAACCTCCTCCCTGAGGTCAGCTACAGCAACCTCTGCACAAACTACCGTATGTAGAGATGTCTTGGGTTTTTTCCCTTCAGAACTCTTAATGAAAGGCAAGGAAGTGAAGATTTAATTAGCCATTAAAAACCAGTTCCCTAGAGCCCAAACTTTTATTTAACAGACTAAAGTTACAAGCTTACGCCTGTGTAGGAGGCAGGTAGGCAAGCAACCTATTAGGCTCAGGTGTTCTGCATCCAGGCCGTTGCAATTGCATCTTCCCACTGCCCAGTGGATTTATTTTCACTGGAGAGAAGAATATTGTTACAGCCTTTCCTCTATATCACTGTCACAGTTTCTCCACCTCTAGTAGAAATTAAGAAAGAGTATCTCTTATGGATGGCCACTGTATGTGCCCACAGTCCACTCACAATCTGTCCTGCTCACAAATGCTATACCTGTGATGGCGATCCTATGGCACATGTGTCACAAGTGGCATGCAGCGCCCTTTTTGTGCGCACGCAAGCCGCCACCCCAGTTCAGCTCTGCTGTGCATGCATGTTCACCTCCCGCCGGCCAGCTGCTCATCGGGTCTCTACCGCGCATATGCAGGGGGTGGAGTGCATGTGGGAGGAAGGTGCATGCATATGTGGGGGGGCTATATGAGCATTGCATTTTGGGGGTTTGGGCGCATGTGCGAGCATTTGTGCATGCATGCGCACACTTTGGGCACTAGGTCTGGAAAAGGTTAGCCGTCATTGTGCTATACCCTCCAAAGAATTTCACATATAAAAACAATGACTATTAGATGGCAGCAGAATTAGAAGTCTTAGTGTCCCTTTATTGCCATCTAGTGGCTACCTAATTGTTTGCAGCCTAGGAATCATACCCCTAAGGTGAGCACCATCCCCATGGTCTCACCTGGGCAATGGTAATGAGTCTCACTAAAGTTGGCAGAACTTCCTTCTGATTAATCTTGCTACACAGCATGACAGAGCTCATCCAAGACCATATATAGGAGTATTACAGATAGTCCTCATTTAATGAGAGCCTTGATAGCACAGTGGTCTAAGCACCCTGTTATTAACACAGCTGCCTGCAATTACTGCTGGTTCGAATCTCTCCAAGGCTCAAGGTTGACTCAGCCTTTCATCCTTTCTAAGGTAGGTAAATTGAGGACCCAGTTTGTGGGGGCAATAAGCTGACTTTGTATAAATATACAAAAGTATGAAGGCTATTGCTTAACGCATTGTAAGCCGCCCTGAGTCTCCGGAGAAGGGCGGCATATAAATCAAATAATAAAAAAAAATGACTGTTCAGTGACCATTCAAAATTACAACAGTGCTGAACAAAGGGGCTTATGATCTATACTTGAAGTTATGGCCATTGCGGAGCTCTCACGGTCATGTGATAGAAATTCGGTATTTGGCAGTCTACCTTTTCATGCAACAAACCACACGGGGGCTGCAACTACTCCTACCTACCTATCTCTCCCTCCTATCTCAGCTGCTCACCTGGCCCACCAATGCATGCAAGCTGGAAGGCACTGGAAGCCCAGGCTGTTCCCCACCCCACTACACCCAGCAGGCCTCACCATGGTTACAAGACCCAGCAGCATATTTATCTTCGCATTTTCCTACAGTTGCTGACAGGAATACCCAGCCAATGAGTGTACATGGCCTTCTTAAAAAGGCTACTTCATGCCATTCTGCAAGCATGTGGTATTCTTGCTCAATTTGGAGAAGCCACCTTCCAAAAGTTCACAAGAATGGCACCTGCTTGGAGTATGGTGCAAGGTGCTAGGAAAAGCATCTTCCTGGCTCCCAAATGATTGTGTCTGCTAACCTTCTATGCTTCCTAGGCTCAAAAGCTAGTGAACACAATTGGAAGGCTTCCTCTTTGGGGAAGAAGGTCCTCCGAACCCCAATATGAAGCTTCTGAGGACATTTTTCAGTCCTGATTCACTGCACTCACCCACAACTTGAAAGTCAAGCTCGCTGGACGTACCGCCATTTGTGTCTACCATTTTACATCGATATGTGCCTGCATCATTCATATTGGCTTCTTTCTTGGTCAGAAAGGAATCTGCCCCACTGGCCATCAGCTTCTCCTTGTTACCCACCATCTGAGAAGAATAAGATCACATCATTTCTGTATCTACTTAACAAAGTTGTTGCCATCCAGGATGAAAGATTGGGTGGCAGTACAAGCTCTCCACTGAAGACTAGGATCATTCAATAGTACTGCTTCAATTGAAAAGTCAAACTCAAGAGCTAAGTAGACAAAGGGGATAGGGAAATAAATTTGTGTCAGACAAACTGCTTTGTTGGAGACAATACTTACCCTGTAGAACCTGTACGTCTTCACTCCATGGCTTGCCTTATGCCATTTCAGAGCACAATCCAAAATCAAATCTTCATCCATTTCCACTTGAACTTTCCTTTCTGCAAAATTCAGCATGTTATAATTCTACTGTCAGGCCATGGCAACTTAAATTATACCTTTATTAGGCTTTCTGGCCCAGTTACCCTGCCTGAGCCGGCAAAGAGGACCCTTTGAGTAATGTTTTTAGTAACAAGGCTCATATTTAATTAATGTTTCTAATCCTTTGAAGTAACAAGCAAGAATGTGAAATTCTGATAAGGACCGGGCCAAACTGGCCAGAGACATAAATTGCCCAAAGAGTTGACCTTTAATAACCTAAAAACTCATTATACTGTAAAAACCCCACCTATTGAATAACAAATCATGCTAAGAATATTATGGGATGCTATGAATTGGTACATAGTACATATTTATAGGTACTGAGCATGCTTGATGACTCAAATTATGCTAACCAATGGAAGAACGCATTCCAAATCCAAAATGTTTGAACTGTATATAAAGTGATAGCTGCCTAGCCTTTTAAGAGACCTTTTACCTAATATCAGGGGAGGGGGGGGTTATATTTATGCATAAATATTAGTCTACCTTTCCAGCTTGGATCCTATTTTTGGCAGAGGCACACCAGGCTAAGAACCTTGCCGTCATTTACAGCTAACAAAAGTTTTATGGACCTGCAATTTAGACTGGATTTAGACTGGATTCTTTACCTCTCCGTCCAACCAGGTTTTGTTATCTTCTAATCCGGCTCCAAACTGCATGAGCCAATTTGGGGGTTTGCCCTATCAACACTTACCTCCACACTTTAAGTTCTTGCTACAGGACTGCTGATTTGTAGCACATGAGCCGCAACTGATAAACGTATAAAACATCTTACCTGCAGAATAGGAATTGAATCAGAACAGGACCAGAAGGGAGAAGCTAACTTACTGGCGCAAAGCAGAAGAAAACCAGCAGAATGGACATGAGGGTCCCTGCCTATGATTCTATGATCTTGCTGTTAAAGGCAAAACCACAGGACCCTGATGAGTAGACCTAGTAGTATTATTCCAGAAAAGCCTTGGTCACAACTGCTCAGTTCTAGATACAGATGAACCTGGTCTCAGTTCCTCTTATTTTTTGCTAAAAGGCCATTTGCAACTCAAAAACTGTGCAAAAATATGTATAATGACAAGGAATACATAATGACACAGAAATACATTATATTATGGACAAAATTGCTTGCTTGCCAAAATGTACAGAAAAATAATGAGAATAATAATTCAGAATCATGCAGAACCCTTTTTAAAAATCTGATATACATACTGGGCAAAACAAAGTCAGTTCAAGAACATAAAAAATGGCACAGCAAAATTTAATCTGAAATAGTGATATAGGGTTCCTGCCTGAGCAGGGGATTGGACTAAAGGACCTCTACGGTCCCTTCCAATAACATTCGGTTATTTAATGTGAAAGGTTTGCTTTCTCCAATGGAGACTAAAAATGCCATTTGTAGTGGGTGATATTGACTACGATGCACCAGAATTCTGACTTATAATTGAAACTAGACAACCGGTGACTCCTTGGGTCATTGTTTCGGAGATATTTCCTTACCAGATTCCTCAATTTCTTTAGTAATGACAAAGCTTCTAATATACTTGAAAAGTTCTTAAAAATTCAGGAAGAGATTCAGAGATGTATCTGCCTTGAAAGTAGCCAACTATACAGCACAGTCAAACGTCGCAAGCTGACCACAGGAAATGTTTTATGACATTTTGTACACTGTTATGTCACAGAATGCTTTGTCATAATTTCTGTGTTATGACGTGTTTTATAACATTTGCCAAATTTCAATCCCACAGGAATTACGGGGCCCTGATTTTGAACGCATCCTGTAAGATAGTCCATTTGAGGTATCTCCGTTCAAAATTTTTTGCCCAATGATCCACTGTTTTGCACAGTTAAAGGTAACATACATGAAAGGATTAACACAAAAACTGGACATGAAACTAATCCTTCCCTCCTGTCAACTTTGTAACGGGACCGGCCGTCGTGAGAGGATGGTTGGCCATTAACCTCTGTTGGAGAAAAAGAACATTGGACCGTCTCCCTGTCGTGAGAGGACAGTAGAGTCCAGCCCTATAAATGGATATTTTGTGACCTTTATGCTCAGTTATCCCTTGGACTATGACAGATTCCCAGACTGGCTTTTCTTTTCCCATCTTTGGTTCGGTTGATGCTCCAAAAAAACCGACCTTCTTGGGCTGCGAGACTCCCCCCTCTCACAGGCCTGGCCCTCCACGTTATCGAGGGCCTATCTTGATGACGGGCTTTGGGACCCCGAGAGATGGCATGCAGCAAAGAGGGGGCTGAGGGGTTTTTTAGCAAAATTTTTAAGGAAAATTTTAAGGGGACCCGGGAGGATGGGTGGGGGTTGTAAAAGTGGACCTGGGGGGGTCCAGATAGCGACTGTGTGGGATGATGGGTTGGTTAGCTGCAGCAGAGGGGTCGTGAAAGGAAATTTAACTGGGGGGCAGGGGGACGATAGAAAGGGCTGTGTAATTGAAATCATGAGTGGGAGGGGCAGGTATGACGGGCGCAGGGGGTCATATCAAGTGTCGGGGGTGCGCACGCGCTGTCTCCGAGCGATTGTGCACTCCGGCCCCCAATGCGTGACTCGTGTCCTGGGTTGTGTAGAGCCTCAGGCCCAGGGTCCGCGGCTGATGTTATGTAATGCCAGGTCGGTGGTTAATAAGGCCCCCCTCATCTGTGATCTTATTTTGGAGGGGGGTGCAGACCTGGCAGGTATTACGGAGACCTGGTTGGGCCAAGAGGGGGGGGTCCCCCTCGTAGAGATGTGCCCGCCAGGTTTCCGTGCATTTCATCAGCCAATGGCCCAGGGGAGGGGTGGGGGAGTGGCGGTGATCATTAGGGAGAGTCTTTGTCCGAGGGAGACCACTGTTCCTCAGATAGCCGGATGTGAGTCCCTTTGTGTGAAGTGGGGCCGTGCGGTGCAGATGGGTTTGCTGACTACGTACCTGGCTCCCTGCCACGTGGCAGCGACCCTGCCCGAGCTACTCGACGTCATTGCCGGGGTGGCGGTCGATACCCCCAGACTTATTGTCATGGGGGATTTCAACCTCCCATCCACAGGTGAGGCGTCAGAGGTGGCTCGGGAGTTCATGGCTTCCATGACGGCCTTGGACCTGACCCAGTTAGTTCAAGGCCCCACTCACATAGGGGGACACACTCTGGACCTGATTTTTATCTCTGGTCAGTGGTTGAATGATCTTGGTAGAGGGGACCTAGATATTAAACCCTTGTCATGGACAGATCATTCACTCCTTCAACTAGACTTTCCTACCGCCTGCCCCCACCGCAGGGAGACGGAACCGACCAGATGGTTCCGTCCCAGGCGCCTGATGGATCCCGAAAGGTTCCTGACGGAGCTTGGGCCGTTTCCTGAGACTCTAACACACGACTCGACTGAAGAGCTGGTGGCCGCCTGGGAAAGGGCGGCCGCTGGAGCTTTGGACCGCGTCGTGCCTTTGCGGCCTCTGACGCGATGCCGATCTCAATTAGCTCCTTGTTTCTCTGAGGAGCTGAGAGAGATGAAGCGTCGGAAAAGACGCCTAGAGAGCATTTGGAGGACTAGTCAATCCGATTCCGACCGGACACAGGTGAGGTCTTATATCAAGACCTACCTAGTGGCGATAAAAGCGGCAAAATCTAACCATTTTTCCGCTCTTATCGCATCTGCAGAGAACCGCCCAGCCGCCCTGTTTAGGGTGACCCACTCCCTTCTTCGGGGGGGAGTGCGGGAAGATCCCTTGCAGGGTCGTGCTGAGGATTTTGTGCAATTCCTGCACGATAAAGTCGCTCGGATTCGGGATGGCTTGGACTCCGATTGGATGAGTCCACGGGAGGAGACCGGGGCAGGTCTTGAGAATGTTATCTGGGAGGAGTTTGATCCTGTGACTCCCGAGGATGTGGACAGGGTTCTGGGTAAGATTAGTGCCGCCACGTGTTTATTGGACCCGTGTCCCTCCTGGTTGGTACTGGCCTCCCGGGAGGTTACACGAGGCTGGCTCCAGGGGATTATAGGTGCTTCTCTGGGTGAGGGTGCCTTTCCTGCTGCCTTGAAAGAGGCGGTAGTGAGGCCCCTCCTCAAGAAGCCTTCCCTGGACCCGGCTGAATTAGTCAACTATCGTCCAGTCTCCAACCTTCGTTTTGTGGCGAAGGTTGTTGAGAGCGTGGTGGCACGACAACTTCCCCGGCACCTGGATGAAGCTATCTATCTAGACCCGTACCAGTCGGGCTTCAGGCAGGGGTACAGCACAGAAACGGCATTGGTCGCGTTGGTGGATGATCTCTGGAGGGCTCGGGACAGGGGTTGTTCCTCTGTCCTAGTCCTATTAGATCTCTCAGCGGCTTTTGATATCATCGACCATGGTATCATGCTGCAGCGGTTGAGGGGGTTAGGAATAGGGGGCACCGTTTTGTGGTGGTTCTCCTCCTTCCTCTCCGACCGCTCGCAGTTCGTGTTGGCAGGGGGGCAGAGGTTGACCTCGAGGCGTCTCGCATGGGGAGTGCCGCAAGGGTTGGTCCTCTCGCCCCTCCTGTTCAACATTTATGTGAAGCCGCTGGGTGAGATCATCCGTGGTTTTGGGGTGAAGTGCCATCTGTACGCTGATGATACTCAGCTGTACATCTCCACCCCAGACCACCCCAACGATGCCCTTGATGTGATGTCCCGCTGCCTGGAGGCCGTGCGGGTCTGGATGGGGAGGAACAGGCTCAGACTCAACCCCTCCAAGACCGAGTGGCTGTGGCTTCCGGCGCCCCGATATAGTCAGCAGGTGCCATCGCTGACTATTGGGGGTGAATCTTTGCCCCCCACGGAGAGGGCTTGCAATCTGGGTGTCCTCCTGGATGCACGGCTGTCTTTAGAAGAGCATATGACGGCCGTGGCCAGGGGGGCCTTTTATCAGGTTCGCCTGATTCACCAGTTGCAGCCCTTTCTGGATCGGGACGCCCTGCGCACGGTCACTCATGCCCTTGTTACTTCCCAGTTGGACTATTGTAATGCTCTCTACATGGGGCTCCCCTTGAAGAGCACTTGGAGGCTCCAACTGGTCCAGAATGCGGCCGCGCGGGTGGTTATGGGCGCAACCCGTTATGCCCATGTGACACCCCTCCTGCGCGAGCTGCACTGGCTCCCGGTGGTCTTCCGGGTGCGATTCAAGGTGTTGGTTACCACCTTTAAAGCGCTCCATGGCATAGGACCCGGGTACCTCCGAGACCGTCTTCTGCCACCAATAGCCTCCCACCGACCAGTTCGTTCCCACAAAGAGGGTCTCCTCAGGGTGCCATCAGCCAAGTTATGTCGGCTGGCGACGCCCAGGGGGAGGGCCTTCTCTGTGGGTGCCCCAGCCCTGTGGAATGAACTGCCCCCGGAAATTCGTAAGATCTCCGACCTCCGGGTGTTTCGCTGCGCATTGAAGACCCTGTTGTTCCGCCAGGCCGGACTATCAATACAATAGTTTTAAATTGGGGTATTTAAATTTATTGGGGTTTTAAATTTGAGCCACTTATTTAATTATTTTAAATTTTATATCATTGTTTTGTCTGTGTTTTTAAATAGGCTGTCCCTGAGTCCTTCGGGAGAAGGGCGGTATAGAAATAAAATTATTATTATTATTATTATTATTATTATTATTATTATTATTATTATTCCTTTCCTTCCTCTTGAAACAGTTCTAATTATGTTAAGGACTAAATATAGAATAAGACTTGTGAGGAGGGGGAAACAACAAGAGAATATGACTCCTAACCTTGATCAGTTGTGGAAAATCACACATCTCCAAAACAACCCACCATTCATTTTAACTAATCTGATACTCACCACATTCATTGCTGCAGTAGACTACAAATCAAAAGGAGAAACAAAGAAGAGCATTAGCAACAGATGGTTTATCTCCTCCAGCCCCAATTTCCTACCTACTGGTTTTGAATGGGTAGTTGAAGTTGACATTGTAACGTCAGTTTGAGCAAGCAATGACCGAGCAAGCAAACAACCAAGCTCAATTTCAGTTGACAGTATTAAATGATTGTTACAGATCAATCAGAGGGAAAGAGAAAAGCAGCTGAAAATGGTTTCTTTGATGCTAGAGACCTATGGGTTTTCTGCTATCTGTAACTGCCACTAAATGAAGCATTCACTCTCCTTTCTGCCTCCCACCCACCCCCAAGTTGTTGTTTTGGACAAAACCCAGTTCTACTCAAGGGTGAAATCTATTTACCTTCCTTACCAATTCGGAAGCACATGTGCCGTGCACGCACAGACCTTCTGTGCATACGCAGAAGGTAAAAAATACATTACTTCCTGGTTAAAACCAGGAAGTAATGACACCCAGGTGGGTGGGCGGAGCTTTGCTCCACCATCGGTACTGGATCACTGAACCACCGGCCAAGATAGCTACTGGACCGGGTGATCCCGTCTGATCCAGGAGCATTTCATCCCTGGTTCTACTTCATTGAAGTGGCAAAAGAGAAGGTCAAAGTATACGGAACTTGATTTTGTGTTCACCTCCACCATGGACCACAACACTTTAGCACTATTGTGCAGAAGAAGCCTAAGCATAGGGTTCCCCAGCCTTGACAATTTTAAGATGCATGGACTTCAACTCCCAGAATTCAGCAGCCAGCATGTCCTTGGAATTCTGGGAGTTGAAGTCCACACTACAATTGCCAAGGTTGGGAAACCCTGCCTTAGTGCCATTAGCGGGATAGAAAAGTTTCAGGATTTAAGGAATTTCATTTCTCTTTTGAATGAACCAATTCAATCTTTCTGTAGTTGTGAGAATCTCACAAATTCTTAGAAGTCATAAATAGTTTTGGAAAGTTTACTTCCAGAAACTAAAATGGGCCAGCCTACCAGAATGGGCAAATTTGCAGCAGCCAGCAATAAAGAGAATATTATGGGGAACCATTGATTATATTGATGGCAAAACAGAGGTTTGCATCTGGTTGTTTAAACTTAGAACTACATCTTCCTTTTTTTCCCCTTTTTAATAGTAAATAGAGCTTACGTTTTGCAACTTGTGGCATGACCTCTTCAAAATAAGTCATCAGTTTCTGAAGGCTCCACATCACTTCATTGAAAAGCTGCTCACCTGTTGAAAAGAAGGAAGACACTAAGAGGGTGTTATGGAAAAGTTGTGACCTGGGCCACAGGAACTGGCATATTGAAAGCACTGGAGCATTCCATGGAACAAATTTAAAGTCAAGGCAGCCCAAGAAAAGACTTACAGGTAGTCCTCAATTTACAACCACAATGGAGCTCAAAATTTCCATTGCTAAGTAAATCAGTTGTTAAGTGAGTTGCATCTTATCCTGTGACCTTTTTTGCCACAGTTGTTGACTGAATCATGCAGTCATTAAGCACATCTGGCTTCCCACTTTCACTTTGCTTGTTGGAAGCTGGCTGGGAAGGTTACAAAAGGTGATCAAATGACCCAGGATAACACAACTGTCATAAGTTGCCAAGCACCTGAATTTTGATCACATGACCGTGGGAATACTGCAACCGTGGTAAGTGTGGAAATTGGTCATAAATCACTTTTTCAGTGCTGTTGTAACTTCAAATGGTCATTAAATGAATGGTTGTAAGTTGAGGATTGCTTAAGAAAAAAATCCTATTGTCTGTGATGAGAGGAAGGACTCGGAGCTTCTACTATCTTCATGTGGCTCCCACTGCTTTATTGTCTTATATATTTGTGGAAAGGCAGTCATCCTCCCCCATCATATCACCTTTCCTCAGTTTTCTACCTGACTTCCAAAGAACAATAAAATAGAAGACTACTTAAGCCAATTTGACACCTAGGCTGAAACTGACAAAGCAAGTTTTAATGCAGAGGAAATTGGCGAAAGGCACCAACTTAACCAAATAAGAACATCACCTCAAGATATTAAATGTTCCCCATGCTGAACCTAGATTTCCTCACAAAATCCCTTCACTCCAGAGGTCACCATCCTGACTCGCAAAGATAAAAACCACAGGCACCAACCTGCATTTTCTTTCCACCTGACTAAGCACACTCTCCAAAAATTCCTAGAAGGCTGACTGAGCTTACACACTTTCTAGAAACAATACAAGGACTTCTTCTACAGTCTGTGGAGATCTTCTACAGCAGGGGTGTCAAACTTGCGGCCCATAGGCCAGGTACATCATGCACTGGCCATGCCCACCCCCAGTTTAGCAAAGGGGGGAAAAGTTGTGACACCTCACATGACGACGGGTCGTTGCGAGTTTAACACCCCTGTTCTACAGTCTGTGGAGGTCTAAATACGTTTATTAAGATTAGCAAACCCAATCTTAATGATTCATTAGAGTGTCCAGTTGTTGAGCCTAGAGTTAGAGGGTCATTTATATCCTCAGCCTCCTTACCGGAGGTGGGCTTCAGCAGGTTCTGACCAGTTGTGGAGAACCGGTAGCAGAAATTTTGAGCAGTTCAGAGAACCGGTAGTAAAAATTCTGACTGGCCCCTCCCCCATCTATTCTCTGCCCCCCAAGTCCCAGTTGATCGGGAGGAAATGGGGATTTTGCAGAAACCTTCCCCTGGAGTGGGGTGGGAATGGAGATTTTGTAATATCCTTCCCCAGGAGAGAGGAGGGAATGGAGATTTTGCAGTATCCTTCCCCACCACGCCCACCAAGCCACGCCCATCAAGCCATACAACACCCACCAAGCCATACTCACAGAACCGGTAGTAAAAAAATTTGAAACCCACCACTGCTTTTCACCTCCCAGCATAGACCAATTTCTGTCTACAGGGACATCATATGTTGTCCATGAATCAACAAACATGAGTTTGTTGATTCATGAGAGCAAATTCTCTGCTAGGTTTACTCCAGTTCCACCAGTTCTATTGTAAACATACAGTGAGGTTATAATTACCAGTCATGAGATGGCTTCCCTATGGAGCCTTTATTTGGGATACTTAAGCCACTGTCTTTAAAAAAAGAGTCTCTTGGAGACAAAAAATATGTGATCCTGGCTTTGCTACCTCCCTCTTTGCAACCTTTGCTATTCCAGCATCTGGTTCTAAACCTAATCCCTGTTAGCCATTATTTCTGAGAACCATTTTAAGATGCTTAGACTAGAATTGTCTTTGAGGCAGGGGTGAAATCCAACAGGTTCTGATAGGTTCTGGAGAACCATTAGTAGAAATTTTGAGTTGTTTGGAGAACTGGTAGTGGAAATTTTGAGTAGTACAGAGAACCAGCAAATGCCCCATCCGGCTGGCCCTAGAGTGGGGTGGGAATGGAGATTTTGCAATATCCTTCCCCCAGGAGTGGGGAGGGAATGGGGATTTTGCAGTATCCTTCCCCTGGAGTAGGGTGGGAATGGAGATTTTGCAGTATCCTTCCCTTGCCAAGCCCACCAAGCCACGCCCACCAAGCCACATCCACAGAACCGTAGTAAAAAAATTTGGACTTCACCACTGCTTTGAGGCACATTTTAAAGATTGCTAATGTGGAGGGAAGGGAAGGAAGGGAAGGGAAGGGAAGGGAAGGGAAGGGAAGGAAAGGAAAGGAAAGGAAAAGAAAGGAAAGGAAAGGAAAGGAAAGGAAAGGAATATGAATGGGGGAAATCCTTTCTTCCCTTGGGTAAGGGAATTTCACAAAACCACCAGATGGTGCTGCTTAGTTAATTCCAAGAGAAGAATATTATATTGGAATACATTATGATCGTGACTTTAGACAAAAGCAGCAAACAGGCTATGGGTGGGGGAATTGGGCAGGCAAGGCAAAATTTTATTGAGGTTTGTTGAGTACCTTGCACCACTAACCCTGTTCTTAATGGACTGCAGTATGTCTAAATTTAAAATAATCCTGAGTGCCCTTCAAGAGGAATAAGTCTTATGCATTCCTTTTATGCCCATACAGTACCATTCTTTTTAGCAGGTCTCTACCTTCAAAGTTATTTTCCTTGATCTGATTCAGGGAGCGTTTGAAGTATACAGTGAGTTTTTTTAGTGTTATTTCATCTGAAAATAATGGAAAAGAGGAAGAATTGTAGATAAAAGAAAATAGCTAGATTCCTTTCTCCCCTCTCATGCATTTGTCTTAAGAAGTCTTGTTTAAATCAGTTTTCCATATATGAACCTCAATCCACAACTTCCGTACAATAAGTCCCTTTGTGAATTTTGTGGTTTGCAAACATAAAAACTGTTTCCAAAAGTTTTCCGGTTCAAACAAGCATTAAACTAAACATTGCTGGATTTATTTTGAGATAGTGTATTGTGGACCCAATATAATTTATGCCTAGTGTGCAGGAAAGTCCAAAGCAAGGGTTCAAAATTGTGGCTTTGCATCAGTGGTGGGTTCCTCCTGGTTCGGCCCGGTTCAGCCGAGCTGGTAGCGGTGACGATATGATGTCACCGAACCAGTTCTCTTAGTTCAGGAGCTGGGCCCTCCCGCCCCCCCCCCGTGTTATTCTTACCTTTTATTTGGCCCCGCCCCCAGTCTATTCACTGCCTCCCGAGTCCCAGCTGATAGCTAGAAGGAAAAAAATTGTTTAAACTCTTGCTGCGGGACTTCAAAGGGCCGCCCTACAGCTGATCACTGTTAAAAGGCAGTGTGGTGGTAGACCAGTGCCTCCAAAAACAAATGAGTAGACCAGGACGCTCCAAGAACAAATGAGTAGACCGGGACGCTCGACAAATAAATGGGTAGACCAGGATGCTCCAAGAACAAATGGTACAGCTCTGCAAGCAGTTAAAAGCCTGGTAGACCAGTACCTCTGCTAAATCCTAAAGAATTGTCACATCAAACCACACCCACAAAATAAGCCATGCCCACAGAACCAGTAGTAAAAAAAATTAGAACCCACCCGTGCTTTGCATTATGTGTAAATTTCTCCAAATATGCCCTTATAAAATTTCACGCAAAGCCTGAATTCATTAGGGAACTGATTATTAACCCTACTATAGATAATTCTCGATTTATGACTACAGTGGAGCCCAAATTTCCATTGATAAGCAAGACTGTCATTAAGCGAGTTTTGTCCCATTTTACTAACTTCCTTGCCACAGTTGTTAAGTGAATCTGGCTTCCCCACTGACTTTGCTTGTCAGAAAGTGGCAAAAGGTGATCACACGACCCCAGGACACTGCAACTGTCATCAATATCTGCCAATTGTCAAGAGTCCGAATGATCACATGGCCATGGGGAAGCTGCAACGGTCATAAGTGTGAAAAACAGCCATAAGTCCCTTTTTTCAGTGCTAGTGTAACTTCGAATCGTCCCTTAATGAATGGCTGCAAGTCAAGGACTACATGTACATAAGTGTTTACTACATTTTGAAGAAACAGAAGTATTATCTCGCACAGTCACAAACACACATGAATATATCTTCATAAATGCATACACTTATGCATTCCAATTATTTATAACTTCAAAGAAATGATCAGATATAAAAATAAAATATCAGTTCGGTATACTGGGTTTGATAGTAACCCTTTAGTAGCACATAGTCAGATAGATCAGGGGTGTCAAACTTGATTTCATTGAGGGCTGCATGAGGGTTGTGTTTGACTTTGGAGGGCCGTGGGTGTGTGGGGCGTGGCCAGGGTGAGTGTGGCCGGAGGTGGGCATGGCCAGGAGTGGACGTGGTCATGGTGGGTGTGACACGGGATGAATGTCAGGAGCACCTGTGGTGGCCAAGTGCTAAGGCAGGACTTCCCTGAGACCTTCCCTCACTCTCATTATAATCTCCTCCCTCCCTCCCTCCCTTCCTTCCTTCCTTCCTTCTCTTCTTTTTCCTTCCCTCTTCATTCTCCTTTCTTCTTCCTTCCCCTCTTCCTTATTTTTCCTTCCTTGCTCTTTTCCCATCTTTTTCTTTGTCTTTCCTCTTTCCCTTTCTCCTTTCCTGTCCCGTCTTGTATGCTCAGATGCAAAAGGGAAAAAAATTCTCCTTTTATTCTGTTTTGTTTTTAGTTTGTTTTGATAGCCCTCTGCCAGGGAAAACGGAGCTCGGGAGGGCCACGCACCTCCCCCCCCCCCCCCGAGCTCCATTTTCATCAGCAGAGGCACCACAGACTGGTTCTTTGCTGTTTCCAGGCCAGCCCCACGGGCCAGATCTAAGCACCCTGCGAGCTAAATCCGGCCCCGGGCCTTGAGTTTGACACCCTGAGATAGATGCTGAGCCTAGGGTTGGATCTAGATCTTGTCTTACTTAAGATCCATTCAGTTAGGATAACTAATATCAGTTCTGTACCAATGTACACACATACAAAAAGGGATGAGTTACCACAGTGATGGCTAACCTTTTTGCCGTCGCGTGCCAAAAGCGGGGGAGCGCAGGGGGATCGCGTATGTGTGTGTGCCCACACCCATTATTCAATGCCCCCTGTGCCCCGCCCCCTGTGCATGCATGCATTCCCCCGCTTTTGGCATGTAATGGCATAAAGGTTGCCAGTGGGCCCGGTAGGCCCATTTTCGCCCTCCCCAGGCTCCAAGAAAGGCTCTGGAGCCTGGGGAGGGTGAAAACAGCCTCCCCACCCCCCGGAGACCCTCCGTAGGCCAGAAATGGCCAGTTTCCCGACTTCCGGTGGGCCCGGAAGGCCCAAAAATCAGCTGGCTGGCACACGCACGCATGCTGGAACTGAGCTAGGGCAATGCTCATGTGCCCACAGATATGGCTCCGTGTGCCACCTGTGGCACGCGTGCCATAGGTTCGCCATCACGGAGTTATCACAACAACCATTTTTGCCAATGTCGACATCTCCCCTATGGAAGCCCCCCGTTGTGTTTATCTGAGTGGGCATCCTAAGCATGACTAGATCTCCATTTAAACAGGGGCTTTAAGTTCATCACATCTTTTTTTAACAGAAGCACCCATTTCAGGGTTAGAAATGTATTGCAAAACCATGATGCAAGATTACATTATTGAAATTGCTTGCATGAAATAGGAATATGGTCAAAGGAAAGGAAAGGAGTCTCCAGACTGCTCCTTTAGAGTTCTCATCTCCAAATGAGAAGAGTTCATCTTAAAAGCTTTTTTAAAAAAATCACTTCATTCATTCAGTATGATATCTTCAGCTTGTATTCTCCCTTCATTGCCCAGGCTCAAAGAAATTGTCATCAGGATTCATGTTTTTGAGGCTTTTACTTTCACCCATCAAGGCAGCTCACCCTCTGACTTTCTAGTTGCCTTCTATTCAGTATTGTTTGTTTATTTATCTAGGTTACCAACAAAACAGCCTATGTTGAATACATAGCTTTGGACAGATAACAACCAGTTCACAAAAACCAATATAAAATATCACAGAATAATTAAAAACAATCCAATACAAAAAAAAAAAAACCCTCCGAGGCGACATATAAAAAAAATCTATTGGATATACATGTGTATGAGGCATCTCTATATCTTGGTCCATCCCATGAGGACATTAAAACACTCAAAAAGCCATTTGGACCCATTTTCCACAGAAAAGAAAACACCGGGAGCCACAAAACCTGGGTGGCTGTGGCCAATTCGACATCACTCACTCAGTCACATGACACACCCCCAGCCGTGCCTACCCAGGTTTTGTGGCTCCTGGTGTTTTCTGTGGGGTATGAGTATCTCTCTTTGTGTGTCTCTCTCTCTTTCTCTCTCTCCCTCCCTCCCTCCCTCCCTCCCTCCCTCTCAATGAGTTGATGAGCAAAATGGCAAAACTACTTTCAGGACTTTCAGGGACACATTTCACCTTTAAAATACACAACATATCTCCCCCCCTCTCTCTCTTTACCTCTCCCCCCTCTCTCCCTCTCTTCCCCCCCGTCTCTCTTTCCCCTGGGAGGGAAGGAAACCCTGACCTAGTGCTGGGTGGTAGGAATCTGACGTGTGGAGGCCAACGAGCCCAGGACCAGCGTGCTGAAGACCAGCTAGCTAGCAGGGAGGTGGGGCATCACACCACCAGCAGCTCTGCAGGAAAAGCAACTGACATCCAGGAAGCAAGAGTGAGTCCACAACGACGCTGCTCTTGCCAGGGGCAAGTGAGGCAGGTGTCATAGTGGGCTCCAGGAGGAGGGGACCCCATCTCCCCCATTGTGAAGTGTGCTAAATTTTATTGTGCTGTGCAAGGCACCGTGAGAGAGACAACAGTAAATGCACCACGAAGAAGGAGGAATGCTGTTTCGCACAAAGGCAAGTGCAGGGGCGCTTCGTTCCTGCACTAAGGCTCCGCCCACCGCCACTACTGCGATGGGGTGACAGCTCTTTCATCCCTCTGCCATGACAGGGCGACAGGGAGCTGCAACAGAGGGATGAAAGAGTTGCATGAGGCTCTGGAGCCGTGGGTTGCCGACACCTGACCTAGGGGAAAGGCCAGGTCTCTGTAGCCTTCTCAAAAACCAAGAAGGCCCGGGACTTCTAAATCTCAGTGGGGAGGCTGCTCCATAGGATAAACACCATGAAAGAGAAGAAATGTTGGTTTCATCCAACAATATGACACAGTTTAAGACAGGGGGTCTGGGACATGCTGACTTTGTTGGGTCTGGTGAGACAAGCAGAGATAAGTGCTCCCACAAAAAAACAGAACCCATTTATAATATGTTCCTAAAAAACATAGCTTTTTGTCCCCACGAATTTCTCTAACTTGGTCCTACCAATGTTTGGGGATGAGGTTGTTATAGCACAGTGTTTCTCAATCTTGGCAACTTAAAGAAGCGTGGACTTCAACTCCCAGAATTCCCCAGCCAGCAAAATATTAATTTTATAAATCAGTATAATTTGGTAACGTGACCTCTCTGTTCCATATATAACTGTGTAAAATTCAAAACCTGCCCTTAAAAATGCTCACAGTGCCAGGAGGTGGGTTTAAGTCTGCCCAAAATGGCCCTGATCTACTCCTGAAAAATTTGGATCTTCTTGGAGAGCTACTGGAAGGAATGCATTCATACCAATAATACCCATATATTTTTGTGGATGTATGGGTTGTTGCCATAACCTTTCCAGGGTATTGTCCAGGAGCTGCTTCAATTTTGTTTTGAGATCAGGGTCTCCTCGGAGTTTGTTTTCCAGGTAGCTGTTTTTGAACTCTTCTTGAAGTGCCATGGCTTCTTTGCTACATTTTAAACAACCCTGAGATCCTGTGATGACCATGGTCAGGAGGAGCCCAAACTCTAACCAAGACATGACAATATCTTGCCTTGTCAGCTGCTGGGAGGGGCCTGGAACAGCAAAACAGTGACATCATAATCACGACCTCACAAACCAGTCAAGTGAATGTGACTCTTCCATTGAAATGTCCCCATTGTGCTCAGCTGTGGTTCATCATTGGCTGAACACATCACAATGGTCTGGCTTTGCTCATATTTAATGGAAACAGAAGAAACCACATTATGGTTTAGCACAGTATATGAACATTGCTACAGCATAAGTCAATGTTGCAACGGACAGGGAAATGCAATCTGTACTTAACTTCCAATTAGCATCCTGAAATGTTTTTTTAATCAGAAGATGGAGGCAATTTAGCTTCTGTCCTTTCTGATATACTTCCAATGCTCTCCTGCATATTTAATGCCTGTTCCTTATTATTCTTTCATTGGTGAGCTTGTATTGGATGAGCCATCTCTCACTAATATAATCCCTGTAAACTTGCATTGAAGTATAATTTCTGTTTTCCTCAGCTGGCTTCTAGACCCTTCTTTCCCAATTGGGCATATTTAAAATAGGGGGATTTCAACTCCCAGAATTCCCCAATCAGCCATGCTCACTGAGGAATTCTGGCAGTTGAAGTCCCCATATCTTACAATTGCCAAGGTTGGAAACACTGATTTAAATAATACTGAATAAGAGGAGCCTATGAATTTAACTTGAAAGCAGATTTCTTCTTTTAACTCTTTAGTAGAAAGGGTTTTTTTTAGTGTTGGTTTATCTGAAAACCTTTGAAGAAAGGAACCACTCTACGAATAGGAAAGCAATTAGCTTCCTATCTGCAGCCAGCTTTTGGTCAGCCAAATGAGTATAGATTATTCATAGCCCGCTTTTAGGCCCCTGAAGCTGACAGCAGAGAAGACCATTCTGGCACTTTAAAGCAGCTGCTGGGAGCTTGGAAAGTGAGAAGATTTTCAGTGTGGAAATGACCCAAAGTACTAACTTGTGGGTTGATGAATGTGTTTGCAACATCTTTGTATCAGCGAGATGAAATAAGTGGGCAGAATCAAATAATATTAAGTTTAAAATGGTAGTGACCCTAAAAGAAAACTAGAAATCATAGAATTCCCGGATTTTTTAATTTTTATAAATAAATTTATATGCCACCAATGTCATCATCAAGGGACTGACTTGCCTAGAATTTCCTTCCAAAACTCTTCTTTGTGATACTGGTTGTTATTGTTTCTGTTATATTCTGCCTTTGTTCTCCAAAATTTAAGGCTATACTGCCCCATTTATCTTGAAAACAACCCTGCAAAGTAGGCTGACTGAGACAGCCTTAGAAAACTGTGTGAAGATTTGAATGCATCAAATGCTTGCCCAAAGGTGTCCAACCTTGGCAAGTTTAAGACTTGTGGATTTCAACACCCAGAATTCCCCAGCTAGCCATACTGGCTGGGGAATTCTGGAAATTGAAGTCCATGTATCTTAAACTTGCCAAAATTGGAGACCCCTGGGTTAGACCAATATAACAACTACCCAGTCATTGCATAGTCTTCCTCACTTTCTGATTTGGGTAAATCAGCCTTTTCAAAGGGCTAAATTCTCTTATTCTGCAAACAGGAAATGCACCTCAAGATTTCAGCCTGGTTGACTTGCATACCAAGTGACTCTGAAGTTGACAATAACAGGAGAAATTTCTTGTACATAAGTAGGGAATGTAGGCAAGATAATAATTTCTATAGGAAAGGTTTTTTAAAAATTAATGAATTGATTTAAAAATTGATAATAAGAAATAATAAAGGAATTAAGAGCTAATTTAGTTAGAAATAGGTAGATGGTGAATTCTAGTTTCTCCTTACACATGAAAGCTAGCTAGGTGACTTTAGGTCAATCATTACCAGTCAGTGAGTTCTAGTTCCGCCATAGGCATGAAAGCTGGTTGGATGACTTTGGGTTGCTCCCTCTGTCTCTCTTTGCCCAAACAGCAGGAAAATAGCAGGAGGAAGGTGTCTTGGATATTTTTGTTGCTTTGAGTTGTTTATAAAATAAATATATTTCCTGCCTTGAGTTGTTAAATAAATAAACAAACAAACAAACAAACAAATGTCACATACATTGAATCAAAAAATGGTTTGGCTTTTAATGTAGCTTGCTTCCAAAGTGAATTCAACTTTCCCTTAAATTTAGTGGCCCCCCCCAGCTGACCCTGAGAAGGTCAGGTCCCCACAGTCTCCTCTTTCTTCCCTTCGGTCCTCTCACCCGCCACGCCTCATAATCTTCTAAATTCCTGGGCTGTGTCCCCCTTTCATCACATCTTGTATATCAGGTCTTTGGGACCACCTGGCCATATGGGGTCAAAATAACTGTGGTCACGGTCTGCTCTGCATTAATTAACCTTTGATCCTTAATGGGCACCTCGGGGAAGAAGAGGTGGGAGGGCCTCGTAAAAACAACAGAGAGATTAATAGCCAGCCAACCAGCAATTTCACTTTCAGAGCTTGGGACAGCTGGGGGATAGGGAGTGGAGAGGGAGGAGCTCATCGGCTGGGTGAGAGGTGGGAGGAAGGGCAGTAATTTGGGAACTGGGGAGGGGACATCTTGGGCTGAAATGGTAAAGCAACTGCACGGAGGGTTGCCAACTGCTTAAAGGGAAAACCAGCCCGTGCTAAGCAGTTGGATTTGCAGGAATCTCAAAATAGAAATAAACTTCACCATCTGCTTCAGATCTGTGTTTAAGGCTCACAAACAGAGAGGGAGCAAAAAAGTGGCAATTCTAGCTGTGAGCCCAAATTGCAGGGTTTCGGTCTGTGGCACAATTTGAACGTTTATCTTAAATTGTGTGAAAATTGCAAGCTTCAGAATATTTTGACAGGTGGCTGAGGTTTGGGATTTGGATCTGCTGAATTTACCAAAATATGAATTATTGTTAGAGCGATATGTGTAATTGCTAAAATTCTCCTTTTTTGTGCCAAGCATTATTGTTAAGTATTTGGATGCTGATGTGGATTGTAAATCATTGCCAAATGTCGTAAGTTGAGGACTTCCTATATTAGTAGGACTGAAGGTTCAATTTTAACTGCAAGAAAGGGCAATTTTTTCTGGCTCTGTATCCCATCCTGCCATATTTGTACAATATCAAAATCTTGCAACATTTCAGTCAATCTTACAGAAGTTCACAGTATTCCACGTTGGGAACTCATATTCTGAGGATATTAATTGATTAATATTAATTATTTACATTATAATGTCAGACAGTTCCAAGACTATCTGAAGAGATTCACTAGTTTGACAAGACTTGGCCAATCTATTGCTGCTTTATAAATTTAGGCTCCCACTTTTCATTCTGATTACTTTAATATGAAGAAAGTTCTGTGTCTTCTTCTATTTACTGCCTAGAAAGTTTCTTTGATTATTTAAATTTATTAAAATTTAATCAAGTTATTGAATATACCCAGATGATTAAGTGAATGTAATAACAAAACTGTAATACAGTCTCCTTCTTGAGCTTATTAAAAGACAGTTTAATAAGATAATTTAATGATCAGTTTAATAAGCAAATGTAACCTCAGTGGAAGGAAATTTTAGCTAGGGTTTGTTTTATTCTTTCAACACAAGCAAATGTTAGGGATGCCCCCGGGTAGCACCGGTTCTATAGAACCGATAGTAAAACCGGAGGGAGGCTCCGCCCACTGATCCCGACGTCATGAAAACGCTTCTGCGCTTGCGCAGAAGAGCACACGCGTGGCCCCATTGCGAACCGATAGTAAAGGTAAGCAGAACCCACCCCTGATACACATCCACAGACACACAGACACACAAACAAACAAACAAACAAACACAGGAGGTAGGCATTCTGCTTGGGTCTGCCAGTAGAATAAGACTCTAAAAACAAAACTGAATTGGATAAGATTTGGTATGGCGGGATTTGGTGCTGGGAAGAGAACAACCAAATTAAAAAATGGGCTGTATCAGGTCAATGGAGGGGGGGGAAAATGAAGAAAGAAATATTTTCAATGCCCTTATGATGGGAAATTGGGCAACGTCTTCACAACAGAACTGAAAAAAGTAACTCACGACCAATTATAATCATTGCAGCATCCCCATGGTCACATGATCAGAATTTGGTCGCTTGGCAAACCTGCATGTATTTGCGATGTTTACCATGTCCCAGGGTGATGTCATCCTTATTGGCAATCTTCCCAGCTGGTTTCCAATAAGCAAAGCCAATGAGGGAAGACAGATTCCATTAACAATCACCTGATTCACTTAAACAATTGCAGTGAATCGTTAAACAAATGTAGCAAAAAAAAAAAAGTCACAAAATTGGGTGTGACACACTAACAATTGCTTTGCTAAGAAACAGAAATTCTGGTACCAATTGTAGTCGTAAATCGAGGACTCCTTGTATTTTCCTGGGCATGCGTGGCTGTAGGATGAGTTCAGGAAAAGCCATAGTTTCTTTTTTTTTTTGTTTTGTTTTAATTTGTATACCATCCTTCTCCAGCAGGACTCAGGGCGGTGAACAGCCAGAATAAAACAGAACATACAAAATTTAAAAACAATTTAAAAATAATTAAATATTTTTGGCCGCAATTTAAAACAACCCAATTAAAATCAATTAAATTTAACAAAAAACAGTGGGATCAAGCCAGCCCGGCTAGGTGAAATAAATAAGTTTTCAGGGCCCGACGAAAAGTCCGGAGGTCTGGTATTGTACGTATCTCTGGGGGGAGGTTGTTCCAGAGGGCGGGCGCCGCCACAGAGAAGGCTCTCACCCTGGGAGTCACCAGCCAACATTGTCTGGCGGACGGCACCCTGAGGAGGCCCTCTCTGTGTGAGCGTACTGGCCGGTGGGAGGCTATTGGTGGCAGAAGGTGGTCTCGTAAATACCCCGGCCCTAAGCCATGGAGCTCTTTAAAGGTGGTCACCAACACCTTGAAGCGCACCCAGAAGACCACCGGGAGCCAGTGCAGCTCGCACAGGAGAGGTGTCACATGGGAGCGCCCCGTCACTCCCATA